ATATGAAGCAAAGTTAGATTACATATGTTAAATGAATATAAGATAAATATACCTTGAGATTAATATGAATTCCTTCCTTGTTTTTGTTCCCTTGATGAACCCGAACGGCGAAAGCTGGAATATAGTGCCCAGCATATGACTCTCCAGTGATGTAAAAATCATTACCTATCAACTCAGAATGTGCCTTGAAGAAAGCCTGGCATTACAAGTGTAATTAACAAAAATATCCTTATATGTAAGTATATATGATATGAAGTGAATTTTACTCAATTAGTGAAGGATGTAACAAAAACGTACAATCATGCCAAAAAAATACGAACCTGCAAGAAGTCATATAAATCATTGCTTACACCTTCCTCGTCATGCCTAATGTCGTCCTCATCAGAAGTATAGCTGAAACCCGTCCCTACTGGTTGGTCAACATATATAAGATTCGAGACCTGCATTTATTTATTTATTTTTGTTCATATATGTAATCGACACACATGCACCACATATAACCACCAGTATAAGTTGAACACTATGCATAATAAATGAGGGCAACTGTTTATGGTATGTATCTGTGACAGCAGTCTGTTATTTCCTATATATATATATGGTAAAATGTGTAGATAATGTGAGATTTGAAATACCTTATCCCATCCGAAATCGTTCAATTCTAGGGTCAAATTGTCGGTTATGTGGAAGGGTCCGTTCTCGTAGAACAAGGCCAATTCACTGCTGCAGCCTGGTCCTCCCGTTAGCCATATCACCACAGGATCACTCTTCCTGTTTCTCGACTCGAAGAAAAAATAAAACATCCTGCAGGCGAGGCGAGCATTCCATTACGAAGCTGAGCGAAATATATTATAATAAACAAACCACCAGTAAAGAAGTAGGAATAAAAAGATAAAATTTATGAAATCATGATACATCAATAGCCATATAGTTTTACACTATAAAAAAGAATTGCAAACACATGTAAATGTTTGTTTGTTTGTTCATGGGACAATAAATGACATTATGGCTTCATGAAAATATATACAAAAAGGATCTTTTACAACAACTCTTGACAATATTCATGGCCCCTTTTATTATACCCTGTATTCAGAAGATTTTGTCAGAAGTTGGGTAAAATTCCATTAAACAATAATGCATTAAAACATTCTCATCTGTCTATATTATATAGGCCCAGACACTCATATACATATACACAACAATCCAATCCAATCCTATCCAATCCAATCATGAATTAAGCAACAGCCCAAGGCAAACTATCATACACTTTATGTGCAAGAAAAAAAAAATGAAATCAGAATCAGATGGTCACTTTATTATGCAGCAAAGGAATAATCTTATCCAAGCCAATAAAACGGAGAGTGAGAAGGAAAAAAGAAAATTAACGGGAGAGTGGGTTGGTCATACTTTGCAGCTTTAGTGTGTGGGAGAGCGTAATAACCAGCATGGTGGCCCAAGTCCTGGATAGAAGCAGAATCCTCCATGAACGGGAACTTGAAACTCTTTTCGACAACTCCCCGTGCACCGGAATCGATCGCCGGGCCGCGGTTCAGTTCATGCTCCGGGAACAAGTTGAGTGCCCTGATGAGTTTCTCGGCCTGCGTTTTCGGGTACGATGAAAACTTGACATTGTTTGGATCTGCGAATGCAGCAATAGCAGAAACTAGGATAAATGTGAAGGCGATGGGATGAGCAAAAGGAGAAGCCATTTTTGGGTCCTGTTAACAGGTTTTTTCATCCTGGAAGGCTGTGTATATATTTATTTATATTACGAGAGAGAGAGAGAGAGAGAGAGAGCATTGTATCTGTAATTTTGTATGCGTGTTTTTGCCTTAAAGGGGTAGTTGAAGGATGAAGGGGTGCTTATTCGTTTTTCACTATTTATTTTATTTTGTATAAATAATTTTGTTGGTTTTTCAGTTTGGAAAGAATGGGGCTTGGGGTGGGCCCAAAATGAGGAAAAAGGAAACTAAGTTCAAAAATTGTAGAAAAAAAAATATATATATATATTCTTCTTAATAGATTACGTAAAGATGAAATTGCGTTTTAATGTATCATCATCATTCATGTTTTTGGCAATTTAATCATCATCTTTTATATTTTGTAAATTAATACATCAAATTTATCATTTTTGCAAATCGATACATGAATGACGATTTTGTTAACAAAAATCTAAAGCAAATCTGACATGGCATTAAGCCACGTCATAGCCATGTTAGATTTCTGTTAACGGAACTGTCATTCACGTATCAATTTGCAAAAAAGGTGAAAAGTTGTGTATTAATTTGCAAAATATCAAATGTGGTGATTAAGTTACAAAAACATGAAAGATGGTGTATTAATATGCCGTTTTGCCCTTTACATAATTGATAATAGTAAATTAAATTTTTGATATTTGAATATAATACAGAAGTAAGCAAATTAAATAAGTGGTGGTGAGATTATTGGAATTGAGAGAGATTTCAGGAGTGTATCCCGAAGAAAAATGTGTATTTCCACATAAAATCATATAATTGAGGACAATAATCAACAGTACAGACATATATAAAAAATCATAACTTAATAAATGACTAAAAAAAGATTTAAAAAAAATGAATCTAAATATTATTAAACATTTTTTTCATATAAGATGTTGGTTTCCTATTGTCAGAATCTACATCGCCACAAATCATTAACTTCAAACCCTTCTGACTTGTGACTCTTGAAAGAGTCACGTACAACTGTCCATGACTGATTAAATGGATGTCTATTTTTTATTAAATATACTGACCATATTTTTACTAAATGAACATATTTTATTAAATACTGATTAAAAGTAAATTTATTCCTTTTTCATCAGTTATACTAGCATTCATCATGTGCACATGCACAAATAAAAATAGAAATTTATATATTATATGTATGTATAAAATATTTAATTTTTTGTGAAGATAATGGATGTATTACATTTCGAATTTGGACTATATGCAAATATATAATGTAAACATAAATTATTTAGCTTACATATGAATCTTTATATTGATGCCATAAATTTTAATGGGCAATATAATTTTGTAATTCAAAGGGACCATACAATTAGTTAGTTAGAAAAATATTATAATTATTTTATTATTGTTATAACAATTATTTATGTTAATTTAAGGTGTTTAATTATGACATTCATGCCAATTAACTAATAATAGATAAAAATCTCTTAAAAAGACCAAAAAATATTTTATCTTAGAAAAAAGTATTTGAAAGAAAAAAATTACAATAATTTTTTTTTAAGTATGTAACTTCCACATACCATTTAATGTATAATTATAATCAATTAGTATTAGTAGTTATATACTAAATTAGCTAAAAATTGTCATTACACTTTATTAATATAAAATGTAATGTTTCTACATTAACTTATGAAGGTTTTATTAATTATGTTTTATTTATTGGTCTGTCAACCATT